CTAAACTAATACACACTATACCAATAAGCTAAACTAATGAACACAATATACCAATAAACTAAACTAATACACACTATACAAATAAGCTAAACTTATGAGCACAAAATACCAATAAGTTATACTAATGAGCACAATAAACCAACAATCTACACTAATGGGCACAACATACCAACAAGCTAAACTTATGAGCACAATAAAACAACAAGCTTAACTAATGAGCACAATAAACCAACAAGCTAAACTAATGAGCACAATATACCAACAAGCTGCACTAATGAGCACAATAAACCAACAAGCTACACTAACGAGCACAATATACCAACAAGCTAAACTTATGAGCACAATAAAACAACAAGCTTAACTTATGAGCACAATAAACCAACAAGCTAAACTAATGAGCACAATATACCAACAAGCTGCACTAATGAGCACAATAAACCAACAATCTACACTAATGGGCACAACATACCAACAAGCTAAACTTATCAGCACAATAAAACAACAAGCTTAACTAATGAGCACAATAAAACAACAAGCTAAACTAATGAGCACAACCTACCAACAATCTACACTGATGAGCACAATATACCAACACTAATGAGCACAAGTCGTCATTTATACAGCACAAGGAAATAGAACGTTTCTTTCCGAGATAACGACTTCGACCTCAAAACTACATATATATATTTATTACATTTTTTGCCAGTGAAATATCGGATTCTATCAACTTGATAAAATTGATATCTTTCACACTGTGACAAATATCAAATGTGATATTTTCACAGTGTGAAAATATCACTTTTTAGTATTGACCAATCATAACGGTATCTTCTATTTGCTGCATTCAAAGGCAACGATATTTTGTCACAGATTAATATGAAGCGACGGTAAAATAAGTGGTTGTTATGGTAAATGTTTGGTACATAGACGAAAATAGCAGAAAACGTCGAAATTGCGTTGAGAATGCCACTCAAAACGTCATTAGAATATGGCGCTAATAATTACGCTTCTGATTCTCGCCCTTTTTTAATGCATTAGATTTTTCATGTTTTATGCTTTAAAAATGTAATAAATAGAAAATTCAATGGTGTCTTTTTTTGATATTTTTCACTCGTGCTGCGCACTTATATAAAAATATATGTAAAATATTAGCCACACTCGTGAAATATATTTGTTATTACTGAAGACACCATTAAATATCCTCTATATATAATTTACAAAGTGCTGCGAGAACCTTACCTTTGGAGAATTATTCTCCATTACGTCAGTCCAGGTGATGCCGTCGTTGCTGTATCGGACGAGGTAAGACTTCGTGTAGAAGGAAAAGGTAGGCCCACTTGGGCTTTGAACCCTCCCCTGAGTAGAGATGGCTGACACCGTCTTCAAGCTTGCAAATTCTACCTGTTGAAGAAGAAACCTATTCAGTTATTTTGTTTTTACCTTTGGTACTATTAAATGTCCGTTTAACAGCTATGGTCATTAAAGGAAGTGACAATTAAGTTTTACCTTAGGTGCTAACAAAATAACTCCAGGAAAAAACGTTTTATTTTTTAAGCGAAGTGATAACATCCTCTTGATATAAATAATAAGACTTATTTTGAAAAAGAAAAGTGTGTCATCAAAACAAAAATACAGTTTGATGTGATAAAATCAAAAGTGAAAGAAAACAAACATAAATATAATGTTATTGCACTGATATACCTAACTAAGGACCAACGGAACAGGTGTGCGGGTGGGTTAGGTTTTGTTTAATAAACAATTAGACTATATCTGGCAATTGATAAATTGCTGTCGACATCAATCAAAACACACACAAATCATATTTCTGAAATAATTCATACTTTAATAAAAATAATAAAGACAAGACATCAAAACAAAACACTGGGTGTATCTCCTGGAAAGTTCATTACATATTTGTTTACTGAAGAAATGTTATAATCTTCAATTCTGAAGCACTTTCAAACTAGAAACAGGCGCGTGACTGCCATGAAAGCAAATAAATAGTTACACAACAAAAATCCTCAGATTTATTAAACAATGATGGCATTGCTATACCTCTTCGCTACAGGCTTGCCCAACAATTTTGTAATTCTTTTAAAATCTTTCGACAATTTTAAAGTAATTTCAATGATATCTCGATTTTATTTTTTTGTTTTGTTTCAGAAATTCTACAAAATAAAAAGCAAAAAACAACCTTAACATTGAATATATTAAACCCTCGGCGAAGCGAGCCTCTGAGAGCAATACAGAAGTGGTTGTGTACATAAAGAATAAGTAATGTGTGCAAATGTAACGTCAACATATTTTTGAGCTATGACACTACATTGAGAGGAACCACAGAGGTTCTAGATATCATTTTTTTCCGGGAAGGGTGTGGGTTTTTCTTCGGGTGGTCAGATGATAAATTTTGTACCACTTTTTCTACAGTACCTATTAGTAGTCTGTCAGGGTGTTTGTAGGTATATTGTACCACTGTTCCTACAGTACATGTAAGTAGTCTGTCAGTGTGTTTGTAGGTATAGTGTACCACTGTTCATACAGTACCTGTAAGTAGGCTGTCAGAGTGTTTGTAGGTATATTGTATCACTGTTCCTATATTACCTGTAAGTAGTCTGTTTGGGTGTTTGTAGGAGCACACCAGGCGCTGTATTCAGTCCCGTCATCCACAAAGTAGGGCTGCATATTTAATCTCCCAAGATGAGCTAGACATATACTTGTCCCTGGCAATGACCAATCCCTTGATGACGTCATGGACGAGTTGTCTACTCCATTAGGCCCATTAACAAGGGAATCACTGGAACAACTGAGAGCTGAAACATACATAACATAACAGTGTTTTATACCTTAAACACTCTTCAAAACTGTTGTCTAATTTGAACTATCATGAGTTTGACAGCAGGACAAACGATCTCACTCTGGACGATATTTGTCCGTCCAATATCTTGTTGTTTTAATTCCAACTTCATGAGGATCAAAGTGAAGAGGCTTAGATAATATTATTGTTTCAGCTATTTAGGAATCCCTTATCCTCTAAATCAAACAACAACTGGGTCGAACGAACGATTCTCATCGGCACATTATCACCTATGGCATATATATATTCTTGACAGAGGTGTGAGGTTCAACAAATTATCTTATTTTAGTGACAATGCTATATATTTACGTTTCAGTTCCATCTGAGGCTACCCTTTCAATAGCAAAGCATCTCCGTGATATAAGTACATGTATATAAACAAATGAGCATGGGTTCTAACTATGAAAACAGTTTACATGGGATGCTTTTGTTCATATAGAAACAAAATGTTATTATTATTTTATTGATTCGATATTATAGTATTGACACTCATATTGATCGCAATTTTCATATTTACCAATGTGAAGGTTTGAACAATTTTCGGAACTGTCAATTCAAGTAACGTTTCTGACATATTAGTATTCTTGCCTCCTTTCTCTTTTGTTAGATTGAAACATCACGTAAACACTATGTCGGTGTCAGTGTTGCACATGTCATAATTCAGGCTGCTGTCGAGGGTTATGGAAGTTGATTTGAAGGTAAAATAAAAAAAACAGTGTGTTTTGTCAGTGTATGAATAGCAGTTCATTTTTATCGATTTCTGCTAGCCGAGAGGTGATTAAGAACCCTTTAAAGCAGTACAATGACCTCCATAACTGTAAAGAGGGCAAGAGTCAACGGAGAAAAAGTTATATAGTTAAACAAACCAGTTTTACTTTTTTCTCTCCTGTTTTATTCGTGATTTTATTTTTAACGGCCTTTACCATGTATTGTACTGGATCGTCTGACTAGAGACAATGCTATAACGTTATGGTTGATCAGCTGATGGAAGAACTTTTATACTATACGTGTTCTAAAATAACGAATATATGTACCGTCGTTGTATAGACCAAAGTTGACTTATAATTTTCTTTACAGACCACCTTAGGCCCATACAGACCGCCAGTCTATGCAGAACACCTGTCAAAACAGACCGTCTGTTTATTCAGACCGCCTGTCTATGCAGGCCACTTGTCTATAGGGACCGCTTTGACCATACAGATTTCCTGCCCTTAAAAACCGTCTTGTCCAATCAAGAAAAGATCTACACAACTTCACCAAAAATTAGAACTCGCTGCAAAAAGATATTATCAGGCACCGGGGAAACAAAAACACAAAAGCAATTAGAGAGATGTCATGAGTGAGGAGTGAATTGGACCGTATACCAAATAGTTCGGGTTTATCTAATAATGAGTTATTGACCATATACCAAATGGTTCGGGTTAATCTAATAATGTGTTATTGACCGTATACCAAAAGGGACGAGTTTATCTAATAATGAGTTATTGACCGTATACCAAATGGTTCGGGTTTATCTAATAATGTGTTATTGACCGTATACCAAATGGTTCCGGTTTATTCAATAATATGTTATTGACCGTATACCAAATGGTTCGGGCTTATTTAATGATAAGTTATCGACCGTATATCAAATGGTTCGGGTTTATTTAGTAATGAGTTATTGACCGTATACCAAATGGTTTGGGTTTATTTAATAATGAGTTATTGACCATATACCAAATGGTTCGGGTTTATCTAATAATGTGTTATTGACTGTATACCAAATGGTTCGGGTTTATTTAATAATGTGTTATTAACCGTATACCAAATGGTTCGGGTTTATTTAATAATGTGTTATTGACCGTATACCAAATGGTTCGGGTTTATCTAATAATGTGTTATTGACCGTATACCAAATGGTTCGGGTTTAT